CCGCCTCCTCCTCCTCCCGTCCTCTTCCCTCCTCCCGCCTCCCTTCCTCCTCTCCTACCTCCTTCCTCCTCCTCCTCCTCCTCCTCCTCCTCCTCTTTCTCCTCCTTCTCCTCGCTCCTCCTCCTCCTCCTCCTCCTCCCTCCTCTCCTCCCTCCTCCCTCCTCCCTCCTCCCTCCTCCTCCCTCCTCCTCCCTGCCCTCCCTCCCCCGACCGTGTGTTGACGCCAGTGTGTGCCTGTCCACGGTGGCACTTCCACACAACGCAGGCGTCGTAGTGAGGGCTGGGGCAAGAGGCGTGCTGTCGGCGGAATTGAGCGGGGTAAACGCGTTCTCAAGGTAATCGAAAAAAGGGGGAGGGACAAGCGGAGGAGGAAGAGGAGGAGGAGGAGGGAGGGGGAGGAGGGAGGAGGAGGAGGAGGAGGATGAGGAGGAGGAGGGAGGAGGGAGGAGGGAGGAGGGAGGAGGGAGGAGGGAGGAGGGAGGAGGAGGAGGAGGAGGAGGAGGAGGAGGAGGAGGAGGAGGAGGAGGAGGAGGAAGAGGAGGGGGAGGGGAAGGGGGAGGGACAAGCTAGGGTCACTCGCGTCATATCTGACGTCCTTTCCCTCCCTCCCATCCCTTGCCATGGCGTAGATCTCCTCTCTATTCGCACAGTCGGATGTCGTAGCAGGGCATCGCATCACATGGCGTAGCACAGTGTTGAAGATCAAAGCGTAGCCTGACATAGCATGGCGTGGCGACGCCCCAAAATGAGGGGGGGGGGGCTTCTGCGGCCCAACAGATTAAATAATCGACACCGAATATGTAATCACTTCCAATGGTTGCTTCGGGGTGCCATTTTCTAGATTTTGGGACCCATTTGGCAAGACCGAAAACCATGCCGTGGCATGGTGCTGGAAATAATGACGCCAGCGCTGCAGCGGGAGCACGATTCGGAACGAGCGGAAGCGCGGAAATGAGGCCAACGCTGCAGCAGGAGCACGATTCGGAGGACGCGTAGCCTGACACATGGTGTGGCGACGCCCCAAAGTGGGGGGGGGGCTTCTGCGACCCCAGACATCAACGAATCGATACCGAACGTGTAATCACTTCCGATGGTTGCTTCGGGGGGCCATTTTCTAGACTTTGAGACCCATTTGGCATGGCCGAAAACCATGCCGTGGCATGGCGCTGGAAATAATGACACCAGCGCTGCAGCAGGAACACGATTCGGAACGAGCGGTAGCGCGGAAATGAGGCCAGCGCTGCAGCGGGAGCACGATTCGGAACGAGCGGTCGCCCGAAAATGAGGCCAGCGCTTCAACGAGAACAGCATTTTGAAAAAAACAGCGAAAATTCGTTTCCCGGGAATCCTGTGTGAAAAACCAATGCGCGGAGGGGGGCCGAACATTTCCCGGACGTCACCAAGGGAGAAAGGAGAGTAGTACTTATAATGCGTAATTGTGCAGGAGGAGGTGGAGGAGGGGGAAGGGGAGGAGGACGAGGAGGAGGAGGAGGAGGAGGAGGAGGAGGAGGAGGAGGAAGAGGAGGAAGAGAGGAGGAGGAGGAGGAGGAGAGGAGGAGGGAGGAGGAGGAGGAGGAGGGGAGGAGGAGAGAGGAGGAGGAGGATGAGGCGTAGGGGGAGGGGGAGGAGGAGGAGGAGGAGGAGGCGGAGGGGGGGGGAGGAGGAGGAGGAGGAGGGGGAGGGGGAGGGGAGGAGGAGGATGGGGAGGAGGGAGGGGGAGGGGGAGGGAGGAGGAGGTACTCCTAGGCCGCGCGCGTCCTCAAGGGAGTCGGGAAGCGCGGGAGGACGGGGGCGCGCCTTTCCGGCAGCGGCTCTGCCTGGGGCACGTCAACGTCCTCCTCGGGCAGCGGCACCTCCAGCACCTGGAGGCGGGAGAGGGAGCAGAGGGGGGAAAACGGGGGAGGAGGGAGGGAGTGAGGGCGGGGGGGGAGGGGGACAGGGGAGGGGAAGGGGGAGGAGGAGGGAAGAAGTGAGGGAGGAGGGGAGGGGAAGGGGAAGGGGGACAGGGGAGGGGCAGGGGAAGGGGAAGGGGGAGGAGGGAGGGGGAAAACGGGGGAGGAGGGAGGGAGTGAGGGCGGGGGGGAGGGGGACGGGGGAGAGGAAAAGGGTAGGAAGGAAAGGGGGAAATGGGGGAGTCCAGCACGCTGGCGCCATCTCTGGCTGCCCAGCCCACGCGCCTTTCTCTTATCCCCTCATTCCCCCCTTTCTGATTTTTTTTCCTCCCGCTCCCCCTTGTTACCATCCTATTCTCCTCGTGCTAAATTTTTCTCACCCTCTCAAAACAGCTTCTACGCCTGCTGCTGCTCAATATACTCGGGCGTGATTAACGTTTGGCCCAATTTTGCAATTGCGGTGCTTTTGTTTTGGTGGTTTCGAACTTGTTTACAACCAACTTCCAAATCAGACGTTCGAAGAAACCTGGGCCAAACGCTCGCTCCCGTATTGTTTCGAACGGGGCTCCAAGTCACCTTCGCGAGGCAATCCCGCACGAAGCGCTCACTTTCCTGAGGTTTCGGACCGACCTCGAACAAGGCTCCAAGCCATTTTTCCGATGAGCTCATGCACGAAAAAACCGCTCTCCTATTGTTTCGAGCCGAGTTCGAACGAGGTCTTCAAACCATGTTTTCTAGAAAGTCCCGCAAGCAACGCTCACTTTCTAGTTGCTTCAAACCAGCTTCTATTGTTTCGAACCTGGTTTCGAACCTGGCTCGAACCTGTTTGCGAAGAAACTCCACGCGGTTTGCCGTTTTCAAACCTCCATCCCGTTTAGCCTGATAAAAAATGAATTGGAGGCACAAGCCCGAGGTTGCCCGCCCCCCGTTGGCACAGCGCCACCCACATCGCGTTATACCAGGCTCCAAGCGCGTTACGGGGCATCTCCGATCCACGCTGCGCCGGACTGTCAATCATTGGGCGATCATTCACCACTGCGCCATATACTGCTCCTATTGCGACTCTTATTGCTTCTCCCTCGCACGCAGACTCGACACAAAGAAACAATCATCCTCAATTAAGTGTGCAAAGTCTCAACTTCGGGTGTGCAAGATCCAATCCCATGCGACTTTGTATTGAATGCTCAATATGGCTACGATGCCACATTCGAGCTCCATTCTTGTTCCGCCCTGGCTGGAGCCTACACCGCGGAGGGCGGCAAAGGCCCGGCAGAACCTCAGCCCCATCCTGTCGTTGCTCAGCAACGCTGTGTCCGTAGATGGTGCCAGCACCATCATCGAGCGGGCATGGGAACAATTTGCAGACGGGGGACTTGGGGCGGTTGCTCTTGGATGGGCCATGTGTCTGTCAGTCAGCAGTGTTAAACCTGAGAGAGAGAAAGAGAGAGAGAGAGAGAGAGAGAAAGAGAGAGAGAGAGAAAGATCGAGCGCGTCGACCAAACTGTGCTCGGGTTCTTGCCCATGTGCTCATGCCGCCAAGAAGACCGAGGAGGCCCAACCTCCCAGAGGACATCAACCCGCCCCATATGAGGCTCCAAAGAGCGCCCATTTTTCGGCGGCGGTGACTCGCCAGAGGCATCTTCGAAACCTGCGCCCTCCTCCTCCTCCTTCTCCTCCTCCTGCTTCCCCTCTTACGTCTCCTGCTCGCCCTCCCTCTACCACGAAGGATTGCAAAAAACCGAAGGATTGCAAAAAACCCTCGTTTGAACGAAGGATTGCAAAATTAGCCTGGCGAAGAACCCAACCATATGCAGTTGTCAGTACCGCAGCTGCGGATTTCATCTTCAATGGAACTCCCCATAGGATTACGGAACGTGTGAGGGGTGTGCCGAGATGGGTGCCACTGGGGCATTCGGCGAAGATCCCTATGGGGACATGAAACACGCGCGGGGCGTGCCGACATGGGTGGCGGAAGCGCATGTGCGGGCCGCCACTGGGGCCTCCAGTGGAGCTCCCTATGGGTCCCCGAAACATGATGCTGCTGCGGGGGGGGTGCCGGGATGGGTGGCGGAGACGCATGTAAGCGCCGCTACTGGGGCCTTCGGTGGAGCTCCCTATGGGGCCACGAAGCGCGTGAGGGGTGTACTGGGATGTGTGGCGGGGACGCATGTGAGCGCCGCCACTGGGGCCTTCGGTGGAGCTCCCTATGGGGCCACGAAACCTGTTGTTGTGAGGGGCGTGCCGGGATGGGTGGCGGGGACGCATGTGAGCGCGGCCGCTGGGGCCTTCGGTGGAGCTCCCTATGGGGCCACGAAACGTGTGAGGGGTGTGCCGAAGTGGGTGGGTGTGGGTGACGCATGTGGGCGCCGCCACTGGGGCCTCCGGTGGATGATGGGGCCACGAAACCTGTCAGGGATGTGCCGAAATGGGTGTGCGGGACGCATGCGCATGTGAGCGCCGCCATTGGGGTCTTCGGTGGAGCTCCCTATGGGGCCACGAAACGTGTGAGGGGTGTGCCGAAATGGGTGTGGCTGACGCATGCGGGCGCGGGCACTGGGGCATTCGGTGGAGCTCCCTATGGAGCCACGAAACTTGTGAGGGGTGTGCCGAAATGGGTGTGGGTGACGCATGCGGGCGCGGGCACTGGGGCCTTCGGTGGAGCTCCCTATGGAGCCACGAAACGTGTGAGGGGTGTGCCGAAATGGGTGTGGCTGACGCATGCGGTCGCGGGCACTGGGGCCTTCGGTGGAGCTCCCTATGCAGCCACGAAACGTGTGAGGGGTGTGCCGAAATGGGTGTGGCTGACGCATGCGGGCGCGGGCACTGGGGCCTTCGGCGGAGCTCCCTATGGAGCCACGAAACGTGTGAGGGGTGTGCCGAAATGGTGTGGGGGACGCATGCGGCCGCGGGCACTGGGGCCTTCGGTGGAGCTCCCTATGGAGCCACGAAACGTGTGAGGGGTGTGCCGAAATGGGTGTGGGTGACGCATGCGGGCGCGGGCACTGGGGCCTTCGGTGGAGCTCCCTATGGAGCCACGAAACGTGTGAGGGGTGTGCCGAAATGGATGTGCGTGACGCATGCGGGCGCGGGCACTGGGGCCTTCGGCGGAGCTCCCTATGGAGCCACGAAACGTGTGAGGGGTGTGCCGAAATGGGTGTGGGTGACGCATGCTGGCGCGGGCACTGGGGCCTTCGGTGGGGCTCCCTATGGAGCCACGAAACTTGTGAGGGGTGTGCCGAAAGTGGGTGTGGTGACGCACTGTCGGTCCGCGGGCCCCGGGGCCTTCGGTGAGCTCCTTAATGCCAGCCGCGAAACTTGGTGAGGGTGATGCCGAAATTGGTGGTGACGCATGCGGCCGCGGCCACTGGGGCCTTCGGTGGAGCTCCCTGTGGGGCAACGAAGCGTGTGAGGGGTGTGCCGAAATGGGTGTGGGGGGCGCATGCGGGCGGCGGCACTGGGGCCTTCGGTGGAGCTCCCTGCGGGGCCATGATGATGGGAGGGGGGCGGAGGCAGCGGGAGGAAGGAAGGAAGGAGAACGCGGGGCACCGTCTCTTCAAAACGAGGACCCAACACCACAGGATGGTTGGGAAAAAACTTCGCGCGCGGCCACTTGAGGAAGACGCGGGTCAGCAAGCCGCGGCGCGACTCCAAGACGCCCATCCAATCGACGCCGTGGCCGAAGCCCGCCCACATCGAACTCGGCCAAACCCCTGGGTCCGTTGCCGCGACCGCCGCCACGAAGAGCGTCGTGAACTTCGACTCGCAATCGGCACGAGACATGCTGCAGCCGTCGCAAAAGTGCCCCACACAACCCCTGGGGTAAAACTCATGGCGCGCCCCCCCCCCCAAACCCCCCCCCCCCCCCCCCAGCTACCGCGACCCAGGTGCCCA